TTGTTGTTGTTGTGGTGGTGGTGGTGGTGCTTGTGGTTGTGGTTGTGGTTGTGGTTGTGGTTGTGGTTGTGGTCGTGGTTGTGGTAGTTGTTGTTGTTGTGGTTGTTGTTGTTGTCGTCGTTGTTGTTGTTGTTGTTGGTGGTGGTGTTGGTGTTGGTGTTGGTGTTGGTGTTGGTGTTGGTGTTGGTGTCGGTGTTGGTGTTGGTGTTGGTGTTGTTGTTGGTGGTGGTGGTGGTGTTGGTGTTGATGTTGTTTTTGTTGTTGTTGCTTTGCTCGTTGTTCTTGGTGTCGTCGTTGTCGTCATCTTCGTGTTTGGAAATGTTGCAGAGCAGAACGACACAACCAGCGACTGTCAACTTTCTACCCACCTGATGTCAAGCCTGTCTTCGGGCTTTGTTTGTACCGGTTTGCTCACAAGGCTATCGGCGTCGATGACGAGCTCTTCCTGGATAGTGCACTCATGGACAGCGGCATGGCTCCTCGATGCAAGACAGAGGCCGCATAGAGGCCGCATCCAATGTGTCAGCGCGCGGTATTTTGCTTGAGCAGCGTCGACCTCCGATTGTTGATGGTATCCAGTTGATTCTACTTTGCAACCCCTTGGGTACTTGTTGCTCGACAAGAATACCACGTCAGGTAATTGGATCATCATCTGATCAGGCCAGGCGGTTTAGAGGCTTCATGCGAGAACGAACTGGATCCAGTAAAGCCAACATGGCCTTTTAGCGGTCATTGGTCCACAGTTATCTCATGAGAACTTCACACCAGAGGAGTTCAGAGTTTCGAAGGGGATCAATCTGAATCTATCCCCAGCTGGGTGTGCAGTTTGGTATGTATGTACGCACAACTAACATCACCCACGTCTACACCTGTTGACATATTGTTGGTGTATATACATCTGTTTCGTTATTTCTCATACATGCGTGTGTGCGCATTTGTTTGTGTCTGTGTCGGCGTATGCCCCTGTGCCCGTCTGTGTTTGCATCATTTGCATCATAATCCGGCGCATCGTTCCCGACACGCCATGCGCACTTCAAAAAATAGGGAGTGAGAGAGCGAGCGAGACAGAGAGAGAGAGAGAGAGAGATGCTTCGGGGTCGGCCTTCAGGCCAAGGGTCCTCCTGGGCCCCAAACCCCTAGCAAGCAAGCAAGATGCAGAAGCAACTAATCTCGGAGAATGCAGTTGTGAGTACATGTAGTACATGTTGTTGCGAGAGTTTGCTGATTGGCCAGAGTTTCGTTTGCTGCGTCGTCGAGTGGGGGTCCAGTTACTTGAGTCTTAGCCCCACTGGACAGGCACGTTGCCGGCATAGTTTAGTTAATGGGCTGCGGTATCAGCGCACGCGGTGGCTTCTCACTGCAACCCGACATGATGGGGAGCGTTCTGCTGGGCGTTTCCTTAGTCTGCAGCAGGAGAGCGAGAGAGAGAGAGACAGAGAGAGGGGGAGAGAGAGAGAGAGAGGGAGAGAGCGGAGAGGGAGACAGACGGAGAGCGAGCCAATCGCATCCGCATGTTTTCTTTCTGCCGCTCTCCCTCTCGCTCGGTCTCATCCCTTCCCCCATCTGATCATCTTTGCTGAAGGCATAGCTTGTTTTTTAGCATGAGCAGTCACGTCTCCGATTGAAAAAGCCTCGGACTTGTAATCGCGAGGCTAGTCCTGGCTTTTCCGAAAAATGCCGGCGTGGCTCGCCTGTGGTGAAATGGTTTCAAGCTACCTGAGCCTTTGACCCAGGACAGCTTGACAGCCGTTTCCTTCAGAAATGGTCTGCAGCAGCAACTTGGTGTCAAGCACCCTGGCTGCAAGTGGCTTCAGACCGGTCCTCCGCTTCCCCAGTGTTGATGAGATGGCGTGTTCGTCTAAATTGACCTCTAGCTTCTCCGGTAGGGTTCTCTTACGAGGTTGGGCACCGGTACCAGTGCCATCGTCAGCCGGTGTGCTTGTGAAAGCCACCCTCGCATTGCGTTCAGGCTCCCGTCGTCGCTGATGTTCGACTATCCGACCATGAAGGAGGTTTCAAACCGAATCGTCGAGCTGAGCATCGAGAACGCCTGAGCCAAAGACTCCGGCGACTCGCTCCCCTCCACAGCGAACCAGTGCCGGCTACTGTAATGCCAGTATACCTCCATGTACCGTTTATCGAGGTTTGGTGCAAGAAATGGAGGGGACGCCGTGCACCTGTCCTGGAGCTCTCAAGTGGCTCCGAAAAACGAATAAGAGGATTTTTGTTTGCCGTCCTATATCTATGCTCCACACACCGTGAGGGCTGCTTTGAATGCGACCTGCTGTCAGAAGTAGCAAACTACACAGCAGGGCCCTCATGGTGGACCCGTAGCACGAGATCTTCACCGTGTCAGGGTTGCCTGAGGCTTCCCGAGACTCGCACACTTGGGCCCAGCCCTGAACCCCCGCAAGGAAGGCCCTCAAAGGCCCAACAACGTCCAACCAGAGCCAATCTCCGAGATCCCAGAGCCTCCCAAGCCTTCAGCTGGGTTGCAGTTCTTCCGCAAGATTGTGGCGTGGAGGCATGGAAAAGACCGCCTAGACGGCCTAGAGCAGACACCCAAGAACGAAGGGGGTTGTGGCCTTTCATCTCCTGGAGTCGACTGGAAGCTCGGGGCTCGAAGGTACTTGTGCCTGTGAAGAAGCAGACTAAGGATCAGCCGTGCGGGTTTATCGAGCTTTTGGTCATGTCTTATCTCAGGCTTTCAGGCTTCAGGAACCCCCACAACGCACCTGAGCCTGATGATCGGTAAGAGTGGGTTTGAGGGCGTAGCATCTAAAGGGTAAACACGTTGCAGCCAGAAGAATAAGAAGGATACCTGGGCCAACAAGGTTACGAAGCTAGCTTGACCACCGTTCAATGCTCGCGAAGGAGAGGGTAGCTGCGAACGCCATCCTTCGTGCCTCGTGCCCTGACGCATCTTCTAGTTCCTGGCCACGATGGGAGAGTTCTTGATGATCGGGTCTCCTATTTACTGAAAGTCCCTTATGTCTCATCATCTTATGACATTGCGATGGCATTTCTGGTTCAGGCTTCGCATGCGACATGGCTGTGTTGAGGTTTTGAACTTCGGGACCTAGTGAACAGAAAGGGACAGCAGCGCCGGTCCTTCTTGTAACCTGGCACGAACTCCTCGTCTGAGTTCGTAGTTTGCAGTTTCTATTCAAAAGCCTTGAAAACCCTGCAGTCACAGTAATGCGCATTTGTGAATGCTTTCCCAATTGCTCTACCTTCATGGAATAAGGGTGGATTTTGACTTTTCTGGAAGTTCCCTCCAAGCCCAAAGCCGAAGCAGAGCCCCTAGAACATGTTGACTTTGTAAGTTTTGAGGAGATTTCCTCCAAACCCACAACCTAAACGGAGCCCTAGAACAAGAAACGCTGAACCAACTTAAGCTTCGAGCAGAGCAAAAAAGCAGGGCCCGACAGCAAGCGACCAAACAAGCAAGCAAACGAACAATCACCCACCACACACACACACACGCACGCTTTTTCTCAAAAGGACGATTGGAACTCATGGTTGGCTAAGCGTCGGTTACGAAATTTGTTGGATGTGCTTGCCAGTTGTCCATTGTGCAAGGTGCTGGCTTCCCTAACATGAAACAGACTGCTGCAACCCGTGCATGAATGCACAAGAAAGCTAGCAGTGGCATAGCCTGGCTGTCATGTGAGTACACAGCGTCCCTTCGAACTTGCTGCAAGATCAGTAATCCACAGCGAGGATAATGACAATATACAGTAACATATACAGCGGCGATGCTACAAGCATTGGCTACGTTCGGAATCACTGCAGGTTCGCCCAATTGCATCTCATTGGATATCACCTGCTCTTGTTCCCTGTCTCCGTTGGTCCAAGACTTGAACGAGCTGCTTGCACCCCCTGCATGTGAAAGGAAGTAATGGGGCGAACGCCTATGTCAGTTTGCACATGACGCTGGGGAGGAACCCCCTTAACCCACGAGCGAGGGCAGTTCACATGCACACCCACACACACACACACACACGCACCAGTAAAACGCCCTAAGCCCTTAACGCTAAAAGTGTAATGAAGCTACAGGCAGCTGCGGATCGAGTGTGTGAAAGTCGTCGCCCCGGCGCAGCTCCAAGAACTGGTGGAAAGTGCACACCAGGCCAGTCCCGCATCTTGCGCTCCTGGGTCTTCCGAATGGGTTTAGCAGGGGGTTTTGGGTTTGGGGCACTGTGGCGTTTATGGCATTTAGGATTTAGGGGAGTCCCCTTGACAGTCGTTTTGGTTTTCGGTTTGGGTAGGTACCATTCAGCGGTTCACGGTGCTAAAATGTGTCAAAGGGTTCTGGGTGGAGTGGGGTTTGGAGGATTTGGTCTGTGCTTTGAACTGTTTGGTTGCAGGGCTTGCTGAATGGCTCCGGTTTCAGGGTTTACGGGCTTCGGGTCACGGTATATCTGAATTGGGCGCTAACAACATTGAGAGGCCTTACATAGGGGCGAAGGATCTAGGTTAATGCTTGCTTTTGGGATTGAGGCTTAGGTGCCCTAAAAGAAACCGCTCCGTGGCTTCGTGCTTTCGAAGCGTGCTCTCCCGCTATAGGCCCTATAGGCCCTACGTATCTATGTTACAGTATACCGATATACGGGTCAAGCCTATTTAAGAACTAAGAACAACCCGTCCGCTGCACAGCAAGCCAAAGCCTTGTAAAACAGGAAGGCGGATCTGCGAGACATTCGCTCGGATGGCCCGGCCCAGTTCTAGCAAAATAGGTTAATGTGTGTTGGACTGATCTGCCTTATACCCTAAACCCCTGTAGCTCGGGACGTCTATTGACATGCCAGCCTTGAGCGAGTGTGCGGGTCTTTATAATCGTTGAACGTCGTTTGTTTGTAGTGGTTCCTTTAAAAACCCTAAACCCTAAACCCTGAATCCTGAATCTAGCGCAGAAGCCCTGCAGCCAGCCTCGGCTTGAGGCCCTCGGGCGCGTGCGTGGGGCCCCGCGCCCGGTCACAGAAGGGTTTCGGGGCCCAGGTTTCCGGGTTTACGTAGGTCTGAGGCTAACTTGGGCGGTGCATTTTTATGTTTGATGTTTTGGGATTAATTATATATATATATATATGTATGTGTATATATATATATAATATACGGTCTTGGCTGAATATGTCTAGTCATTGAGTCGACAGCATTCGGGACTTGGAGCTCCCTGGTGTCGGAGTCAACGCACTTCAGGTTTAAAGGCGTAGCAGGTGTACCCCTTTGGAATTGATGGGAAATACGGTGAGACAGCAGAATTATGGGGAAGATGCGTGCCAGCGCAGGATTTTAAGATTAAGCAAACCTCAATCCGTTGCCAACTTGCCGGCATGTATAATACTCCATACGACAGCTGTAAGGCTGTAAGGGCTCCTTTCACTCGTCAGACCGTCGTGTGAGACCTTGCCTGGCCGGTGTCAGTTTGCATGTCAAATTTCGACATTGGCTCCTTGAGTTTTTGGGGATCTGAGCTGACTAGGTTTAGGTTTAGCAGCTTTCAAC